TGCGTGTGGATTAATGGGCTTGCCGATGTAAAAACCACAGGAAATAGTCCTGATGCAGAAGAAATGTGATTGCATGTGGGTTAGTGGGCTTGCCGATGTAAAAACCACAGATGTCACCCTAATGGGAAAAAGCGACGGTTTATCCTGGAGCCATGTTGAGTGACCGTGGCCCGAGAACACAGGTTTGTTACACCAAATTCCATGTTCCAATGTGGAAGCAGTTTCACAGGGTTTTTGTTTTGCTTTATGGTTTTGCGGAACAAAGAAAATCGGCTTTAAAATATATTGGTGGGTACATCAGAGAGATGGGGACAAGAAGATGGGGACAGTAATTTTATAGGCCCAAGATGCTATGTGATGAGTTCTTAGCTCTAACAGGGTTTAGCTTATTGTCACGAGGCGTAGTTCACATACAGAGTGAGGCAAGGAAGGGATGTCCCAGAAGACAACACTAGCCCAAGATAAAGTAATTAGTTTCTGAACCTAGAAAATTCCAGTCTCTCCACAGCACTGAAATCCAGTCGGTCCATCGGCCCCTGCAGACACAGCACCTTCTGGGAGGCTTTGTTTTCGATGTTTGTCTCCTTACAGCCAGACACAGCTTCTTCTCAGAAGTGCTCTCACTCACAGGCTGTAGCCAATGGGACTTGAAAAGAGCATGGCTGGAAAGCTGGTAAGAAAGACATTTGGGGGCATTGGAGAGATGGCTCAGTGACTAAGAGCACTGGCTGCTCTTCCAGAGGACCTGGGTTCAATTCCCAGCACCCACAAGGCAGCTCACAACTGTCTGTAACTCCAGTTCCAGGGTATCTGACACCTTCACACAGAGTATATACAAGCAAAACACCAGTGTATATTAAATAAATAAATAAATGTTTCTTTAAAAAAGAAAGACATTTGGGGAAGAAGTTTTTAGGTGGCTCTCTCCGGACTGGCAGAGGATGTGATGATACTCGTGTTCATCAAAAGGTGACTTCTACAGAGGAAGATTCAGTGATCAAGTAGATAGGGTGGCCCACTCTGTGAAGAGTAAGATTCTATTACCATGACAAAACAGCATGACCAAGGCAACCTATAGAAGAAAGAATTTAATTGGGGCTCACTTACGGTTCCTGAGGGTGAGTCGATGACCATCGCGGTGGGAAACATGGCAGCTGCGGGCGTGGTGCTGGAGCAGCGGCTCAGATCTTACATCTGACCCACAAACGGGATGCCGGGGAAGCTCACTTGAACAGTAGGGGTGTTTGAAACCTCCCAAACACATCTCCTCCAACAAGGCCACACCTCCTGATCCTTATCAAACAGTTCCATCAACCGGAGGGCAAGCATAGGAGCCTGACAGGGCCATTCTCAGCGGAACTGCCGCTGCTTCTTCCTCAGGCCGTCCTTGCCATTGCCCTGTGGGCTCACGCACAAAGCGGCCATGATGGCAGGGGTGGAGGCTACACATGTGCCCAACAACATGGACTTCCACCCACAAGGCGACCTGGCTATGGCTGAGTGGCGGATCTGCCAGCAGCAGAGATCAGCAGGGAACCCTCGGTATGACGCCGGGACAGTCAGAGGGGTGTAGGTAGACAGGGAAAGCAAGAATGGGCTCCATGAGGAGGCATCTTCTTTCTCCAGAAGCCTTTTCAAGGGGAGAGGCAATGGGAAGGCCCAGGGCAGGCAGTAGAAACATTTTATGGAACTTAAAAACCATTTTGTGTGACTTTGAGTACAGCAATGCCTGTAAGACAGGAGCATGCCACCAGCTAGCTCTGGCCAAAGCTAGGCCTCAGAAGCAAGCTCTGTGGACACCAGCAGCTCAGACCCAGCCAAGCCCAAGACAGGACTGGATACACTGATTAACTAGCCACAAGATGGCACTGATAATTTGGTGAACCAGCCCCAAGACGTGAACCCTGACAGGGCAAAGCCACTGCCCGATGAAATGACACCAAAACTGGAACTTTGGAAATGGTCTCTAGGATCCCACTGCCAGGCTCCCAAGACAACAGCATCTCTAGACTCAGTGTTGATGCCCGTGGCCAGAGATTGGCCTCTGTGTGTGGTGGCCCTGGCTTCAGCGGCTTTTGGATTTGCACCGTCACTGGGCTCACACATGACCACTTGTCAGCCTTAACTGCTGGCCAGCACTCTCAAGGACTTCCTGGACCTCTACAGTGCCGTCCTCCCTGGCAGCCACAGCTGAAGGACTTCTCGGTGGATGTGGGTTGGGTCTGTGAGCTTCTGAAGCGTCTTCACCAGAGAAGATTACCCAGTGTAGCCTGCAGTAGCACTTTCTGCCCAAACAACTCTCTCTGCTTGACGTAATGTCTGTTTATCACACTAGGTGTGTAAAGTATTATATGCTTGCGTGAATAAACCGAGCATATTCAAAAGACAAATCTCATGTGGATATCCTAATTGCCCACAGGCCAGGCTCTCCACAGCAGGTGTCTTAACCGGACCAATGCACAAAAGGGGAGAACACAGATGCCCTATATATAAAACACCAACCCAAAGTCCTGTTACCAACCCCCAGCTCTGGAATCCCTCCACCCCAAAGGGAGTTGTTTGCTTGCTTCGGCAAAACATGACTTTCCCTTGCTCTGTGTCTCAGCATTTCTTTGACCTTCAATTCTTTGTCCCACAGAAAAGTCAGTGGTCCCCTAGATGAACACCAGCACTCCAGGTAGAGGACTACTCCCCAGGGAGATCCACCGGTGGCTGATGGCAAGCTGACCACCTTTCCCCAGCCTAGAAGGGCATCACTTTGCCCTTACTTGAAATAGGTGCTTATCCGGCCAGGGATCTGCCTTCCCTGCATGTGATGCTTCAGCCCAAACCAGCATGCTTGTCTTTTCCACACAGTTTCTGGACACTCTTCTGAGGGATTTTTCTTGATCAGATTATTTGAGGCAGGAGCCCACCCTAAATGTGGGTGGCGCCTCCTGGTGGCCACCCTGATAAAAGAACCCAGAAGAGGTAAAATCGGTTTTTGCCTTCTCGGCTGCCCCTCATCTTGTGACTGCCCGTGGACGGGAGGCCTGACGTTTTTTGTTTTTGTTTTTTTGTTTTTTGTTTTACGAGACAGGGTTTCTCTGTATTGTTTTGGAGGCTGTCGGACACAAGAGGGAGTCAGACTCTGGGGCCGGGGTATCAGGTAGTCGTGAGCTGCCAGTGTGGGTGCTGGGAGCTGGACTCTTCAATAACACGCACACAGGCGGAGCCATGGAGATAAGGGGTTTTTGGTTTGTTTGTGTTTTTCCGACACTGGGTTTCTCTGTGTAGCCTTGGCTGTCCTAGAACTCACTCTGTAGACCAGGCTGGCCTCAAACTCAGAGATAAGCCTGCCTCTGCCTTCCAAGCGCTGGGATCAAAGGTGTGTGCCTCCACCACCCAGCCGCCGTATGACATGCTTAGAGTCCATCAAAGAGTCAGGCAAGCAGGAAGCACTAGGTCCCTCGCTCTCCAAGCTGGTGACAAGCTAGCTGGTGGCTTGTCTCCGAACCCTGAGAGTTGGAGAGTCACCAGCAGTCTGTGTGCCTGGGCCACCATCAGAAGAAGGGGCAGTTTCAAGTCCCCTACTGTTCATCAGATAAGCCAGCAGGACGGGAAAGCTGGAAAGGGGACAAGTCTTGCCCCATGGGAAGGAGGTTGGGACTTTCTCAAGATGAGGGCTGTTAAAAACAAGTGTCTGTGGCCGGACAATCAGCCACCTGCTGTGTTCACCTTTTCTGTATGCTGCCTCCCTTCCTGAACTCCTCTCTCAGGTTTGCTAGTACAGATCAACCATCTTGTTCCCCACACAAGGACCTCTATGCAGCACATCTTAAATGCACCACGCCACCCACACTCCAACAACTTGGCTGGAGCTTTCAATGGCTTCAGGGCCATCTAAGCCTTTCCAGCACACCGACTGCACTGACAGGCAGCTTTGTTAACTTATCCCATTGGTTCATACCTTCATTCCAGGATTGCTGAGCCCTAGAAAGGGGGGGGGGCACAGGAAAGACCCCACCCTAACATGGCGACTCAATTCCCACTGGCAGAACACAGAAACTGCATGCAGTAACAGGAGGTAGTGGCAACCGGGGAAGCCTGGAGGTGTGGCCTGAATCTCAGGCTGACACATCCTCAGAAGAGATAGGGAACTGACTGGAATGACGTCAGTTTGATGGAGGGGTCAAAACAATGCTCCCAGGTCATGGAAAGGTAAACCAAAGACACATGAGGGAGGCATCTGCACATCTTGGACCGGATAGGGGCAGAAATGGGAACCATCACACTCAGGGGACCCCGCAAGAGAGGGAAGAGCCAGCGGGTCGGGGAGTTTGCAGTGAGACTGTCTCCCAGGAATGTCAGACGCCATACCCACAAAGTCCCTTCAACATGACTGCCCAAGTGTGAGCTCAACAAAAGCAAGATTCTACAGGGGATGGGAGTCGCAACCTCGCACGACAAACAGCTAAGGAATGCTGAGTGGGAGAGCCAGTCTTCCCTGAGGGGAAAGCACGGTAACTGGTCAGCCAACACCAAACAGCCAGTTCTGAATACATACAAGAAACACTATAGACTATACACGCATGTACATACGTATATGCAGGCAATAACAATTCTTGAGAAAAAGAGTCCATGAATTTGAAAGACAGCAAGGAGTGTTTGGGAGGGTTTGCAGGGAGGAAAAGGGGGGAACAATGTAATTATATTCTCAAAATGTAAAAAAAGTAATACTTTAAACACAAAAAATGAACAGAAACCAGGAGTGGGCTGGGAGTTAAGTTACCAACGCTTCTTTTCTTTAAAAAAATATTGCATTGGTGAATTGCCTGTCTGGAACTGGAGCTGCAGACAGTTGTGAGCTGCCAGGCGGGTGCTGGGAATTGAACCTGGGTCCTCTTGACCACTGAGCCGCTCTCCAGCCCCCCAACTCTTCTTTCAAAGGGAATAGCCTAAGCTGTGCAGGTGTGACTTTTAAGTTAAATTTTAACTTTCTTATGGATGATCTGCCTGCACGTTTGTTGTACGTGCCCCACACGCCTCCAGCGCCAGCAGAGGGCAGGACAGAGCGTTAGGTGGCCTGGAACTGAACCCGGGTCCTTCCTCTGCCAGAGCAGCAAGCGTTCCTCACGGCCGAGCCGCCTCTCCAGCTCCCTCGCTAGAACTGCGGCAACCGGCGGCGGAGACTTAACCGCACACAGCCCGGACGCGCAGCTCACCCCGGGACTTCCGCTCTAAGCCTCGGCCACCACCCTTCCGCCTCGGCCGACCAACCACGCGCCCGGGGGATCTCGCTGCTTCCGCTCGCCCGCAGCAGACCCGGAAGTGTCCGTCCGCTGCCGTTGCCGCCGCCGCCGCCCGGTCGGACATGGCGGAGCTGCACCGCCAGCTGCAGGACTACCTGGCGCAGGGGAAGGCGAGCCGGCCCGCAGCCGCCGAGCCGCTGCTCGCCGCGGGGACGAAAGCAGCGGCGGAGGAGCCCGCGGCCGGGGACGGCGCGGCGGGGGCGTGGCTCGGCCGCCCGGCTCTGCGGTGGCCGTGGCCGCGGAGCCCCGCGGAGGCGCCGGCCGGGGCGTGCGCGGCCAAGGTGACGCGCGGGCAGCGCCTGGCGGCGGGCGGCCTGTGCCTGCTGCTGGCCGCGCTCTGCTTCGGGCTGGCGGCGCTCTACGCGCCGGTGCTGCTGCTGCGCGCGCGCAAGTTCGCGCTGCTCTGGTCGCTGGGCTCGGCGCTGGCGCTGGCGGGCGCGGCGCTGCTGCGGGGCGGCCCGGCCTGCGCGCGGCTGCTGCGGGGCGAGGAGGCGCCGTCCCCGCGCGCGCTGGCCTACGCCGCCGCCCTGGGCGCCACGCTCTACGCCGCGCTGGTCCTGCGCAGCGCGGCGCTGACGGCGCTGGGCGCGTGCGCGCAGCTGGCCGCGCTGCTCGGCGCGCTCTGGGGGCTCCTGCCCTGGGGCGGCGCGGCCGCGCTGCGCCTGGCGCTCGGGAGGATCCGCCGCGGGGCCGGCCTGGCGGGCGCCCTCCCGGTGTGAGCGGCCGCCGCGGACCAACGGCCTGCAGGTCCCCGCGGAGCCCTGGGCGTCGGCGTTCCCGTTCTGGCTGCTCCGCGCGGGCCCCGGCGAGACTGCGTTACCTGACCCGGGACGGACGCTGCGCTGCGCGGACGGCGATCGGGAACTGCCTTCCGGCTCACTGGCCTCACTTCCCTGGCGGGAGAAGAAAGTAATGCCCGACTCGGCTGTGGAAGGACTGCCTTCTGCCTTCGGTCATTTTTTTTGACAAAAAGAATGTAGCGGAGCCTAAGGTTTCCGTTTTGCCGCCGCTTCTCGAAGCCTCCTCATTCCTATCCGCCGTAAATCCGGAGCATCAGATTAAACACTCAATGTAGCCACTGGTTTTCAAATAGTGATTAGTTAATACAGTCTACCTCAGCTTTTTCCCTTCGGCTAAGTACTAAATATGGTGCTTTATAATATTTAAGGGAGATGAAACGTAAAGGCAATACACCAAAGAGCGATTTTCTGGATCAAGAAGTCAGATACCTAGTATGATGTGTGCTAAGGTCTCTGCAGAACTGGGTTTAGGAGTCCTGAGACTCGAGAATCTTTCATCTGCAATTGGTATAAAAGAGGTTTGCCAAGGGTTCACTATTCCTAACATTATTGCTGCTTTTTAAAGTACTATATAATTTGATACTAACGCAATGTAAAAATGCATATATGATGGTTGTTTTTGTTGTGCTGGAGAGAATCACCATCTAAACCTATCATAATTTATTGCCAAAAAGTGGATCCAGTGTTTCATCCTGATATACTAGAAAGTAGGGTGTATTACAAGCTTATAATTTTACCAGTGATTTCTCACATCAAAAGAAGCCACGCTCATCAGCTCATTTATAATACTGGTGGATGGCTGCAGACATTATTTGTATGTATGCATATATGTATGTACACATACACACGCCCAGAGCCGATGAAATAACTCAGTTGGGAGTGTTAGACTGAAAATATATATGCCCAGATGTTTTCGTGTTTGGCTAAGTTGAGAACGACATCGGTACACTGGCTTGTACAATGTGAACGTAACTTAACCAGACTGCTCCAATGTTGCTGTAACAGGATTGGTCAGACAGCAGCTAATGTCTGGCTAATGTCCTCTTCACAGGCTTCCAAGCTACCTTTCTCTAGTGCGCCCCAGGCAGTAAATGGGGCCCCCTACCTCTCAGGAAAGGAGAGGCTGTTTTGCAAGTAGTGATGTGCACATTTTTTTATGTTACTATATTCAGGATATTAAAATTGTCTCAAGAATTCATTACTTGAATATAGAATTCATTACAAAGTTCTAAGCACATTAAATTTTCACAGTAGTTTTTAAAGTGTTGCATGTAGATATTTAATGTAAAATGTGAAGGTTCTGTTTATTAATGAATTCATTCTCAAAATGTGACCTGGATCTCTGGGTCCCTTTGCAGCGTCACGGGATTTGACTGTCCGTTGTTTTTATGCCAGGGGATGCAAATGAGGAGTACAGCTTCTAATGGTGTGGGTGCTGACATTTTTATTCTTGGAGTAAAAAGAAAAGTGTTTACTTAAAATTTTCAGGTTCCAGCACCCAAATCATCACAGTCTCTCACTCTACTCAGGAAGGGCCAGGGGAGATTTCTGTAGACTTGTCCAACTGTGCTACCTCCAGGACAAACCTTTTAATGAAAGAGACAGCTCGGTAGTTAACAGCACCGGCTGCTCCAGAGGAGGACATGAGTTCAGGTCTAACACCCACTTGGTGTTTACAACTGCCCATAACTCCAGTTCCAGGGGATCTGATGCCCTCTTCTGGCCTCCAGAGACACCAGGTGCAGACATAAATGCAAGTATTAAAAAAAAAAAACCAAAAAACAAGAAACAGCTTTTTTTAAAAAAAGCCAGCATAGAAAGGGCTCTCTCAAACTAAAACTTTGATTTCCAACCTGAGGCCCCCTCCTTTTTTGGGGGGTAGAGAGTAGTTACACAAGGTCTCATGTATCCCAGGCTACTCTGAAAATTATTATGCAGTCAAGGGTGGCATTGAAATTCTGATCCTCCTGGCTCTAATTCCCAAATGCTAGGTTATACATGTGTGCCACCATGTCCAGATACAGATAGGTATTTTTAAGAGAATCTCCCTCTCCCCCTCCCTCCCTCCCCCGCTCTGTGTATAGCTGGAGTTAGAGGTAGTTGTGAACTGCCTGATTGTAGGTTCTGGGAACTGAATCCCAGTCCCTGTATGTGCTCTTAACTGCTGAGCCATCTCTCCAGGCCCTACCTTTGTTTTTTGTTTTTTATGGGGAGGGAGATGCTTTTTTGAGATAGGGTTTCTATGTAGCCCTGACTGTCCTGGAACTCTCTGTAAACCAGGCTGGCCTTTAGCTCACACACTCAGCTTTATTTATTTATTGGGGGGGGTGTCAAGACAGGATTTCATCGTGTGGCACTGGCTGTCCTCGAACCCCCATAGATGAGACTGTCTTTGAACTTACAGTGATCTGCCTTCCAAGTGCTGGGATTAAAGGCATGTTCTTGCTTTTTTAAAGCAAGAAATGTGTCATGGCAAAGAATTTTCTGGTGCACTCTTGTCTTCTACCCTAAACCCTGAAGTCCCCATAAAGTAAATGGAAGAGGAGACTGTTTCCATTTCCTTTGAGCTGGAAAGGTGAGACTACAGTGAGATACATGTAACTAACATCGGTTTACACCAGGTTTCTGTCCCAATGAAGATAAGGCAACTCAAGTCTAAACTGGTAGGAGATGTATCCCAGGGAGAGCCTGAGTTGCACCCAGAAGATTCAAGTTTTTCTTCAGGTGTAATTATTCTACCTGGTAGAGCATGTCTGAGACGTTGAGTCTTCTTGAACTATGTTAGAGCAGTTTTAAAGTATTCCTTGTAGCATAACAGAGACAGTGTAACGACAGGAAGGTAAAGATGGCTGGAAAAGCACTAAGTTGACATGAACTTGGTCTCCATGAGCAACAGCAGTAATTGCAGAGGTCCGATGCAGTAGAAACCAGTTCCTTAAGGCAAGCACTATACAGCCGGCTGTTCTGTTAATTCTTGAGTAAATCACATTCTGTATTCATACAAAACAAGGGTTTTTTTCTCTGACAAACTGTACATATAGAAATAAATTTCCAATTGGACATGAACTCAACTATGTGGAGGAGCTCCACTTCTTATGACACTTAAAAAAAAAAAGATTCCAGCTTTTATCCTCACAAACAACATGGGAGAGTTAGGGCAACGAGGGTGGACAAGACAGAACAGGGCCAACTACCCTGGGTAGTGGCGGCAGTCTCTTCATCTTGAAACCTCATTGGGCTCCCAGAACTCAGCTGCCCCAGAAGAGCTCAGGGCTCAGTGGTAAAGGCTTCTTTTCGCTTCTCTTGGTAAGTCCACAAGAACTTGTTAAATACTATCCAGAGAGGCCAGGGGCTCCTCAGCCGACTTCTACCGGCCCCTCCCTCCACCCCTTGACGTGCCCCGCCTGGGAGGGCCAGAGTTCATGTTACTCCCTCTACCCCAGTTACTGCCACTGCGGCCCCCTCGAGAGGATGAGCTGCTGCCTGGAGGGCCACCAAAAGGTTCGTCTCTGTGGTATCCATCATGATGGTCTCCATCCAAAGAACTGGAGCGCCCGGATTTTGGCACTCTCTGGGAAGGTCCTGGGCCTGCTCGGCCTGAAACAAAACAGAATTCAAGACATGACACTCTGTATCACAGCGGCTGCTTCTCCCTGATTCCGTGCTGCAGCCTCACTCCCTGACGACAGGACCACTGGGGGGCGCTAAGGAGACACAGCGGCTTTCAGAGCACTGAAGTGGGTTCCTCCGTCCCTTCCTGTCCTCCACCCTGGCTCATGGACTCAGCCTCGGTGTCTATCCATCCCAGGGCTGTTGCAGAGAAGGCGGGAAGCTAGCCAAGCACTAAGACTCCCCCGAAGACTACAGCACACTGGACCAGGCTTGCTACCTGAGTATTTTAAGGAAGATTTCAAAAGCACAGGCTAACTTTAGAAGCAACTAAGACACATAGGCTGCTGCAGACATACGTGAGGTCTGTGCACACTCTGTGACATATGGCACTATGTCCCTCTCACGTGCTTGTGATGTAAAGTATTCTCAAGGGACAAAAATAAACTGGCTGTCAGAGATAATACTAACTTTGACTTGCTTTCTGACTTAACATTTACTAACGTTTAGCTCTAAGTAAAATCTTTAAAAACAAACAAACCAAAAAAACCTTAGGCCCATGATATGGCTCAGCAGGAATAGGTGCCTGCTGTCAAATTTAGCAATCCCAGTCCATGCCCAGAACTCGACAGGAGAGGCCCGAGTCCACGCCCAGAACACGACAGGAGAGGACCGAGTCTGCAAACTGTCCTCTAACGCCCTCCCCCCCCCCCCCCGTGTGCACGAGGCTACCCACATACAAACATATGAAGCAAATACAGTTTAAAAATGTAGGAGACGCTGCTTGGGGCGAGAAAGTTGGTTTTTTTCATTGGTGCTCCATGATAGCTGCTCATGCTCAGTGGATGGCACCCCAAACCCAGGCCCACATGCAGTGTTGACTGAACGCAAGTTATACAAACAAGATGATACATTTAAGTTTAGGAAAAGACCGTGAGGAGACTGGGTCTGGGATGAGCTGGCATAAATGTACTGTTCTAGACTGTACTATAAATTACAAAGAAAAAATACAATTTTTAATCGTTTTTCTTTGCCTGCTGAATGCCAAGATCCTGTGTGTAATTCCCAGCACTGCAAAATAAATGAATACACAAACAGAACATTTTCTCCTGAAATGATGGCATTGGTTCATCTCCTACAGCATGTTCTTCCAACATCACCACCAACTCTATTTTGTCTGAAACGTTTGAATGGAAGTTAACCTGATGTATGAAGATGTTAGGGGAACTCACCAAGCAATAAGCTTGGCTTCTTATCATGCAAAGCATGTTAGGTCAACCTACAGTTGCCTGAGCAGCGTTGTCATCTAGTATGTAGCTGTCATGCTAGTCACGTCCTTAGCCAGGGCGTCCTGACTGCCCACAAATTCATCTAGGACCACAGGATACTGAACAGTGCTGCACGTAGCTAGACTGGGAGATATACTGGGTAGATCGTTCTGGAAAGACTACAGAGGTGACATGTGAATAAGGTGGGGAATCCAGCAGCTTCCTTTCCAAAGCGCACTGCACAGGCCCCTGCCGGCCCAGCCTAAGGCCAGAAAGTCGCAGTGACTGGCGGTACTCCTGGTTAAAGCGCCGCTGACCTCCCTCCTGGGCCCAGGTCTCCAGCATGGTACAGAACCTTGGAGAAGAAAACTCTCCCCTGAGAGGACTCCTTTGAGGGCTCACAGGAGTCACTGGTAGAGGACACAATTGCCAGGGGGCCAGCTAAGGAAGTAAGGAATAGTCAGGAGTGGAGTAGAAGCCCCCACAAGGAGCTCCTGGGAGCGGTCAAAAGGATGCTGGGTCAAGTCTGCAGCGCCCTCCAGCTGTGGCAGCAAACCACACGCACACTAAGTGTCGGCGTTATCCTCTGCCCAAGCTAGGATCAGAGGCACAGCAGGGGCTGCTATGGGGACTCGGGACATTTGCCACAGACCCTTGCAGCTCTGGGTGGGGCTGCATTGCTCTTACCTTTGCTACCTCGGTCCTCTGAGGGGCCTCCTTGGGCCTCCATCTCTCTGTGTTCAGAAGAGCCTGACCCATCATGCCAGGGGCGCTTCCGGGGTGGTAGGGATGCCATGTCCATGCCTTGGAGAGAAGAGGAGCGCTCTCTGCTAGCTGGTGAATGGCCATCATGAGGGGGATGATCAGGGCGGGGGGCATCACGAAAATGTTCATGACCGGGTCCTGAAATGAGAACCAAAGGTCCATGCTTTTAAGGATCTGACACGATCACCACAGTCAATCAGTGAAGCCCAGAGTCACCGGAAGTGATGCCACTTAGAGCAAGCTGAGAACAGAGCAGGTTGAGTCACACCATGGAGTGAAGGAAAGGAACTCCTGAAATCAGAGGAGGCAGGACTCGGCTTGTCACCACTGTCTTTAAGATTACTGAGGGAGGCGAGGGAGCTGGCCCACTGGGAAAAGTGTTTGCTGTGCCAGCATAAGGACTAGTGTTCAGCCGGGTGTTGGTGGCGCACGCCTTTAATCCCAGCACTCGGGAGGCAGAGGCAGGCGGATCTCTGAGTTTGAGACCAGCCTGGACTACCAAGCGAGTTCCAGGACAGCGTCCAAAGCCACAGAGAAACCCTGTCTCGAAAAACCA